ATAATAATAATAATAATAATAATAATAATAATAATAATAATAATAATAATAATAATAAAAATAATAATAATAATAATAATAATAAATTTTATTAGATAGAAAACTGAAACCATTTATATTTTTTTGTCATAAATGTAAAAAGTAAAATGTCACAGAAAAAGTCTCTCATTGGTTCTAAAATTATAATACGATTTACGTAACGTATCGTACGACTAGTACAATTCCTTGAAATCTAGTATCCCGATTTCTCGTTTCATATTAAATTAAAAAAAATAAATAAAAATAAATAAAAAGAAGAAAGATTAAGAAAATGAACAAAGTGATTCCCCATGACCTATCTTCTTTATAATGACCTAATTTATTTTCTCAATTGATAAAATGATATTTAAATGTTACGATAATGTGATAATTCATTTTTATGTAATAAGAAACCACGCGATGATACACTGATTACTATAAATAAATATAAATATATATCTTATGTCTGTAAAAATGAATTAATATATTATCTTTTATTTTTTTTTTTAATTATTATTACCATAATTATAAAATATGCACGAGTATAAAATTTATTTTATAATCATATGACGATAGTTTTGCAGTGTAATACATAATACATAATCAGCGAATCGTGATAAACGCAAATGCGTGCACTTTAATTAAAAATACGATACTAAAGTTTATAAACGTGAAATAAAAAAAAAAATTTTTTTTATTTATCAAACTTATTCGCACGTTCCAACATTTCTTTTTTTATGTAAATCTATCGAGTTTTAATAAAAAAAAAAAAATAATAATAATATTACTTCTAACGAATTGGAACAATTTAACAATAACATTGTGATTATAATTTAACATTTTCAGTAATTTTACATGAATATTGATTTGAATAATTGTTTGATAATTATTTATAATTTTTTTTTGTTTTAATTTTCTCTTATCTTTTGATGATCAATGTGAATTTTCGCAATATGAGTTATATCAATTCCAAATTACATATATATATATATATATATATAAATCTATTTTGCATGATTTACAGTAATATCAATAATAATGCAACCAAAACAATACTTAACAACGATGTATAAGCAAAAATGAAGGAAATGACGTAAAATGAACGATGTGTTTTATTTAAAAAAAGGAATAAAGTTCACTGGCATAATTTTCAACCAAACACAAACACACATTTATATATTTATATGTTTAGTTAATATGGTATATTTTAATGTTTAAAGTGTAAAAGAACAATTTGATTTGCAACTTTATTACGTCAATATCGAAAGAAAAAAAAAACACGAAATAAGAATTAATTTAATGAAAATTCTTGTAGTTGGTGGAAATCGTGAATTTGATTTATTAATAAATTAAATTAAATCACATTTTAATATTTTGTTTTTTTTTCTTTTCAATTGCTTATACTCGTTATATTATTTTTGTTAATATTACTATTATTATTATTATAATTATTATTATTATTATTATTATTATTATTATTATTATTATTATTATTATTATTCAATATATATATTATTTACAATTATTTACAGGGAAGGTAACGACCCAAACGATTCGTCACAAATAACTTATAGTAAGTTATTAACAAAAGTATGTAAATTCGCTAATGTTTTGAGATCTAAGGGAGTATCGAAAGGTGACAGGGTTGTCATTTATATGCCAATGATTCCCGAGCTTCCTATTGCCATGTTGGCATGTACGAGAATAGGGGCGGTTCATTGTGTTGTTGTAAGTAATTATTATAATAATTTATCTTTTCTTTTTCTTTTTTTTTTAAACAATAGCATTATCATAATCATTAAATTTATGTTTCAACGAGTTCATTAAAAATAAAACAAAAAATATTATTAGTTCGCAGGATACTCGTCCGATGCATTGGCCGAACGTATTTTAGATGCCAAAGCAAAAGTTTTGATAACCGCTAATTTAGCCAAAAGAGGTGAAAAAGTATTGTATCCTAAATATATTTGTGACAGTGCTATTGAAAAAGTAACTGCACAGGATCACGTTATTGAAACGTGCATCGTAGTTACACATTCGATGAGATTGAACAACAAACGTACTGGTGCCGATGAAAATGGCTATGGTAAACACACATTTCAATTGTTTTCTCTTTTTTTTTTTTTTACATTTATTTTACATATGATTAGTTACAATACAAAAAAAAGTAAATGTTACACAAAGAAGAAGACTAATTTTTCTATTAATCGAAAGGTGGATCCTGGAATTCTGAACGCGACTGTTGTTGGCACGTAGAAATGGAGAAAGTTGAAAGTGAATGTGAACCAGTGTGGATGGACGCTGAAGATCCACTTTTCATTCTCTACACTAGGTATCTATTAGTTTAATTTATTTGAATTTACGTTTGATAATAATATTCTAATCTCTGCAAACTTATATTTAACATTTATAATGAATTATAGCGGTTCTACTGGAAAACCCAAAGGTGTTCTTCATACTACGGCCGGTTATTTGATTTATGCAGCAACAACATTCAAATACGTTTTTGATTATCATCCTGGTGATATTTATTGGTGTACAGCAGATATTGGTTGGATTACTGGTCATACTTATGTCGTTTATGGTCCATTGGCTAATGGTGCAATCTCAGTTTTGGTAAATTCAAATTGTTTTTTGTTTTAAATAATTCAAATCGCAAAGATTTAAAATCTTTACGTAATATATTTAATTAACAGTTCGAAGGTACACCATTCTATCCAGAAAATGATCGATATTGGGCTATTGTGGACAAGTACAAGGTCACTCAATTTTATACATCACCAACTGCTATCAGATCTCTCATCAAGTTTGGCGATGAATTTGTCAAGAAACATGATCTATCTACTTTAAAGGTATGCTAATAAAATGCACGAATAATTTAAAATGAGCAGATAAAATTAGATAATTGTAAATCGAATCCCAAAAATTTGATTATTCAATTGACCACTTACATAATTTCCTCTTTCAATGTTTAACCTAAAAAGAAAAAACTACGTTTTATGATAAAACTCATTTGTTTCTATTTAAAATAAATATTATGTTTTTTTTTTGTTTATCTTGACGTTTTGCATAACATTGATATGAACTTAAATAATATTTATCAATAATAATTACGAGAGAAAGAGATAAGAATATAATGAACTTTCTGTGTATAGGTTCTCGGTTCAGTCGGCGAACCGATAAATTCAGAAGCATGGTTGTGGTTGTATAATATGGTTGGTCATGGAAAGTGCAGTATCGTCGATACATTCTGGCAAACGGAAACTGGCGGTCACGTTATAACACCGCTACCAGGTGCGACCCCAATGAAACCAGGATCAGCGGTACGCTTAAGAATTTTTCATTCATTCATATGATTAGCATCGAAAATTAGACAGTTGATTAATAATCTTTTACATTGCATGATTGTCGTTGGATTACAGGCCTTTCCCTTTTTCGGAGTGTTACCAGAATTATTGGATGAGGATGGTCATGTGATTGAAGGTGAAGGTGAAGGTTATCTCGTATTTCGACAACCATGGCCAGGAATGATGAGATCATTGTTTGGAAATCATCAACGTTTTCAAAATACATATTTTGGTAGATTTCATGGATATTATTGCACGGGTGACGGTAAGTAACAAGAAAAAAACAACACACATATAATTTGATCATTTAGCAAGAGGACTTCTGTAATTTAATCCAGCATATTTGGCATCTTTTCCAAGTTCTTCCTCGATCCTAACAATTTGATTGTATTTGCCTGTTCTATCGGTTCTACACGGTGCACCAGATTTAAATTGTCCCGCTGATAAACCCACAGCAAGATCAGCTACAAAATTGTCTTCAGTTTCGCATTGTCCAGTTGATACAACGTAGCCCCAATTGTTGATTCTAGCCATTTTCGCACAATTAATGGTTTCTGTGATTGTACCGATTTGTGACATTCTCAAAACGAGACAATTAGCCATTTGTCGTTCTATTGCTTCCTCAATTCTTTCAATGTTCATGGCTGTTAAATCGTCGGAGACTATTTGTATTTCTTGATCGGCCATTGTCAACCAACCTTCCCAATCTTCCTGATCAAAAGGATCTTCGATCGAGACAATTGATGGAAAGTCGGTTAAATAATCTAAATATTGTTCTTTCAATGCTTCCGCTTCCATATAATCGTCGGGATCGGATTCTTCAGTTTTAAAAGCTAAATCGTAGCCTCCTGTGTTCAAAAAAAAAAAATGAAGGATAAAGTATTATGCAAACAATTAGAAATATGATTCAATATAAATTAATAAGAATGAACCTTCTTTATAAAAAGCACTAGCTGCCATATCTAAAGCAATTTTAATCCTTCCTTCGTATCCAGCATCCTTTATCGATTCATCTATGAGTGTCAAAGCATCTTTGTCGTCTTCTAAAAGTGGTGCGAATGAACCGTCATCGCCAACAGAAAGTGGCAATTGAATTTCTTGAGATTCAGCTATTTTCTTCTCCAAAACGCGATAAACCTCGTTACCCATTTTCATAGCGTCGACAAAACTTTCAGCTCCTATCGGTAGAATCATAAATTTTTCGCAAGGTATAGAATTACCTGCCAGTCTACCACCGCTGATCATGTTGAAACAGGGCACTGGCAAATACAGGTCACTGTTTCCTGCTAATTCAGCAATGTACCTATAATATTGTCTTGATTATATCAAAACTGATACTGTTAGATACTTAGATCAACAAATACAAAGATCATGTTGAACTAACAAACACATCAATCCTAAAGTAGTCCCCAGATCTAACATTTCACTTATTACAAATAAAACCTAGCTATTATTGATCAAGTTAATAATTATAATAATTCTAACCTATAAATTGGAAGACCTTTCTTTGCTGCACCAGCTTTGCAACATGCCAAAGAAACCCCTAAGATTGAATTAGCACCTAATTTTGATTTATTCTCAGTACCATCTAATCTGTTCAACAGACTATCAATTTCCATTTGTTGACAAACTTCTAATTTTGATGTCAATAATTGAGGTGCTATTACGTTGTTAACTATATCAACAGCTTTAAAAACTGATCTACCATGATAAGCAGCCTCATTTCCATCTCGGATTTCTTGTGCTTGATTAGGATTTGATACCAAAGTACTAGAAACTGATGATCTGAACAGACCAACATCTGTGATAAGATCAACCTCCAAAGTAGGATCTCCTCTTGAATCAAATATTTGTCTAGCTTTAATCTTCTGTATAGGCATCTTTTATTTTTATCTTTATCTTTAATTAACCTTTGACTTTAAGTTTTTTTATAAAATAAAAAACTGATCGATTGTTAATACTAAATATTTGATAAATTTGGATTATATTCCCAATTGATTAGAAATGAAATTACAAATTTTTTTTGAATTGTCACATGTTATTGATTTAAAATATATATTTTTTTTATTATTATTATAATTACTGTCAATCAAAAGTAGACATATTTTTATTCCTGATAGATTCGTTTAACAATTGACTGTCTAAATGAGTTCATTTTTGTTATTTAAAACAATATAACTCAAATCAAAGCTCGTAGTAAATTTTTTATTATAAAACTAATTGCTGTAAAATCAAGGAAAGTAATTAATTAATTAAAAATTGTCTTAGAAAGTACTCGTAGAATATTTTAGAAGGTTTATGAGCATAACGAACAGTAACAAATTGTATCCTTAGGATAAATGAAATAATTTTAATCTAAATTCATAAAAATACATTAAAAATATTAAATTAAATAACAAAACAGGTTGAGATACACTGATCTAAAAAAAAAATACTTATAAATCGAATACTACTAAACATTTTATTTTTATTTATATGTATATATAGGTGCCAGACGAGACTCAGACGGTTATTTATGGATAACTGGTCGTATTGATGATATGTTGAACGTTTCTGGACATCTGATGTCTACTGCAGAAGTAGAAAACGTTTTGGCTGGTCATTCTTCTGTATCTGAAGCAGCTGTTGTTAGCAAATCTCATCCTGTTAAAGGACAATGTCTTTATTGTTTTATTACACCTAACGATGGTGTCAAATTTGAAAAGAAATTGCAGGATGAACTGAAACAAAGAGGTACAAAGTGTTATTTTTACTTATTATATTACTTTATGTATCACTTTGATTAGCGTTTTATTTTACTTAATAATGGAAAAATTATTTTTAATATTAAATCATAGTATACCTGTTTGTCGTCATTTATAATTCATGCTTATGTATTATTGTTGTTTTTTTTTTAACAGTGAGAGAAAAGATTGGACCATTTGCTCAACCAGAGGTCATTCAGCATGCACCTGGTTTACCAAAAACGAGATCAGGTAAAATTATGAGGCGTGTATTGAGGAAGATAGCAGCTGGTGATAGAAATGTCGGTGATGTTTCAACTCTAGTTGATGAGGCTATCATTGATCTTCTTTTCCAACTTAGGCCACAAGCTTAAACGAATCCAAAAATTCTATAATATATATATAGATATATATATTATAGATATATCGTCTTCGTTGCCGTGATTGAAAATTAGTAAACAAACAAATTATAACAAACAAAAAAGCTTGTTAAAAAATATTTATGAAAAAAAAGTACTTTGGAATTTATAAGAATAATAATTTAATGATTTCTCTTTCGTACAATAATATTTATAATAATTATTGTTATTTATTTGATCATTTTTAATAATAATCTTTTATATTTTTTATTTCTTTCTTTTTTGTACGTGTTTTTTTTTTTTTTT